GCTAACCATCTCCCCGGTTTATTAGCATTTTCAAAGAAATTCTGTTTGGCCAATTTCATTTGCTTAGTAAGTTCATTTGTGTCCAGGAGATTCAATTTATGCTTTAAGATATTCATTTGGACCTTGAGATTTTTTTTGGATGGATCTTCCTGCAGTTCTTGTTCCCGTTTCATCAATTCCTCTACTATTTTTGCTCGTTCTTGCTTTTTCTTTTTATTTATTTTTGCTGAGTATGTTATTATCAATCCCCTGACATAGGCTTTAGCTGTATCCCAGACGTTTTGTAAAGAAGTTTCTTCCGCTTTATTTATTTATTTATTTATTTATTTATTTTTATAGCATTTTTATGCCACCCCCATTACAGAAAGCCTCGGGGCGGCTTACAAAAAACAAACAAACTTGCATTTCCTTATTTATCTCTTGTATAAATTTTTTAACCTTTAATAATGCTTTATTTAAGCTCCATCTGGGCGTCCTTGCAGTTCCTTTCAGTGATACAGTTACAGGGTTGTGATCCGCCCAAACATTTGCCTCTATTTCAGCTTTTATCAAGTCTGGTACTAAGTCTGGAGTTAACCAAACCATATCAATTCTAGACCATGACCTATGTCTATTTGAGTAGAAAGAATATTTAGCAGAGGTTGGAGTTTTATGCCTCCAAGCATCTATCAATCTGAGTTCTTCAATCATGTTAGAACATGACTTTGGGAGTATCCTCCGGCCCTTTTTCCCCTTAATCTCACTCTTACGGTCCATTTTCTTGTCCACAACTGCATTCAAATCTCCCGTTACACACACAGTCTGATAGCCCACTTGTAAGAGTAAAGTATGTAATTTTTGGTAAAATATTTCCTGATGGTCACTGGGGGTGTATATCGCCACTAAAAGCACCTTTTTGAGTTTCATTGTAATTTCAACCATCAGGATCCTACTGTCCTCATCAGCAAGTATATATTTAGGGTCTAGTTTTTCCTTAATACATATTGCTAAACCTCTCTTCTTTTGAGACGCAGAAGATACAAACAATTTTCCAAGCTTTGAACATTCCAAAAATTTAACATGTTGTTTCTTAATATGTGTTTCTTGTAAACAAATTATATCTAATTTTTGTTTTTGAAGTTGAGTAAAGATCCTTCTCCTCTTAGAGGGTCCATTTAGTCTGTTAACATTTAAAGAGAGCAATTCAATTTTTCCTTCCCTTTTAAAAGCCATGTTTAAGGAGTATATACTTAATCTACTTATTCTTCGCCTTTACACTTCTACCTTTTTTCTTCTCCTTTGGCTCCAATATCTGCACTTCTTGTTGTGAATCAATATTCACTATTTCTCCTTGCTCAGACTGATACATTGTTAATTCCATTGATTCGGCACCTTCCCCTCCTTCTTTTGAAGCACCTGGTTCTTCCTCTTCAAGCATACTTCTAAATTTTTATAGAACTTTTGTGCCTTAAAAATTGAATCCAATTTATATCTTGTAGAGTTCCAAGTGAAGAGTATTCCTTCTGGCATTAGCCACTTAAAGTTAATCTCTTTCATAATCAACTTTGTAGTAAGGAATAAGTATTTCTTTCATCCTTCTCTAATGCTCCATGGTATTTGCTTCAGAACCGTCACCTCGTCGCTATCATCCACCTTTAAAGGTTTCTCACATATGGCCTTCAAAACATCGTCTCTTATAGACCTTAGAGCAAATTTAACATGAACTTTCCTTGGAAGTTTGTTTTTTCTGGCATAGGTCAAGTTAACTCTGTAGATAAGATCAATCCCTGCTGCAGTTTCTTCATTTTCTATTTCTAAAAGCTCTGCCAAGATGCCAATCATTAGCTCTCACAAATCTTTATTCTTTCCTTCAGGTATATTCTGAAATCTTAAGTAGTAAGATGCCTTCTCCATCTCTAATATAGCAAGTGGATCCCATAGAGTCTTATTTGTTTGCTTAATTAGTTGTGTTTCTTTATCTACATTTTCCAGTTTTTCATGTGTTTGTTGTATTTTTTGTGCATTCTGTTCAGTTTTAAGTTGAACGTCAGATAACTGAGTTGATACATCCTTAACAGAATTATCCAATTTGTCAAGCCGTTCTTTTTGCTCATTTGAAATACTTTCCTGCCGTGTTGACATCACCTCTTGGGATGCTTGCAAAGCTGTTAAAGATGTCTGTATCACCAGAATTTGTAGCTCTTTTTGATATTTTTCAACATCTTCCGCTTTAGGCTGGTGGGTTGGACTCTGAGCAGCTGATGTGGGTGCCGAAGAAGAGGAAGGGTGTATTTTTCTTATGGTGAAAAATTTTTACCAAAAATTTCAAGACAGCTGCAGAGAGATAGAGAAGAGAAAAAGAGAAAAAGAAAAAGGAACTTGCTATAATTCCGATAGCTACAGGATGGCAGCAAACAAAGGGCTATTTTGAAATGAGGGGATCTATTGGCAACATACAGGTATGTGAGGGGATGTCACATGGAGATGGGTAGAGACCTGTTCTCCCCTGCAGAGGAAGGAAGGACGCGCTGCAACGGAGCAAAGCTCAGGGAACCAAGGTTCAATTTAGATGCCAGGAAGTACTTCCTGACAGTTAGGACCCCGAGGGTATGGAATGGGCTTCCACAGGACATGGTTGAGGCCCCATCGGTGAGGGTGTTCAAAAATAGGCTAGTCATGCACATGGTGGGCATGTCATGAGCAGAGCCGGTTGGAGCCAGGGGTCAGACTAGATGGCCCAGGAGACCCCTTCTGACTCACACTGTTTCTGTGTTTCTAATGCTGGAAACCGTTGACGGTAAAAGAAGGAGACAGTAGAGAATGGGGTGGCTAGATGAAGTCACTGAAGCAGTCGGTGTGAGCTTAAGTGGACTCCGGGGGATGGTGGAGGACAGGAAGGCCTGGAGGAATGTTGTCCATGGGGTTGTGGTGGGTCAGACATGACTTCGCGACTAACAACAACAACAAGGAACACTTGCATGAGATCACAAGGCAGAAGCTTGCAGAATTAGTTTAAAGATCTCTTTGAATCACACAGTCATCAGGTTGTAGAAGGTTTTACAAAGAGCAGGCATGGGCAACTTCCAGAGATCCAGGAGCCTACCTGTTGCAGACTGCAGTCCATGCAGTGCTACAGGGCATCAAAACTACTCCACCACAAATTATCCAGCAGTTCACTGATGGATTCTGGCAGCAAGCCTCTCTGTAATGTTACGGTGCAATAAAGAGGTTAAATTAATCTTGTTTTCAAGCTAAATTGCATCCCTTTGCAGTTCACAATGGCTTTGCAGTGAGAAACACACTTTGGCCACACTTAACTTGCAAACAAGCCAAAGTTTGGACATTCCATAGCCACTACAGACATCATCTTTGTAATGGTGCAGGGTGTTGTTGGGGGGTGTTGAAATTTGGGGGTGACATCAAGGGCAGTGGAAATGGAGGACACATATTGCCCATCCCTGATGTAGAGTGTAGCTGCAGGTTACAAAACAATGTTGCAGAGGTACAACATTAAATAATGATTGGAACCTCAGGATTGCTGGCTGGCTGGCTGGCTGGCTGGCTTGTGCAACACTTTCAGGGTTTTTTTTTTTTAAATTTCTTGGTCAGATGATAGCCACAAATTATTGAACTATAAGTATTCTCACTAATAAGAATCAATTTTCATAGCTGTTTTTGGAACAAGAAAATGCAATGGGAAATCCTCCCCCATTCTCTATTTTAGCATTTCATCCTTTGTAAGTGTATATGTGGGAAGTATGGAAGGACTGACCTTAACAGTAGAACCATAATAATGGAGGTGATAATGAATCCGTATTGTACTTTTTAGATGCCTATTGTCCAGAAGCATACACTATATTTAATGGGCTCTCTGCTCTTTCCACTCAATTAATACAATCAAATCACAAAGGTGAAGGGGGAGCTTGTAAAGAATTGCTTGTTTTCCTGCAACCCTCCCATCTTAATCTCTGCTTCCTCAGGATTTCAGCTTTAACACAAGGGCAGGTACCATCTGCCAAGCATCTAGGTAGGGAGGAAAAACTTAATTTGGCAAGGACAGCAGTCAGAATACACAGGAATGAACTGGATGTGGCAGTAAACTACGAGTAACTCAGGCAGTTTCATAGGTTTGCATGGCAACTGCAAACCAGGAAGGAAAGAGTGAGGACATGACATTGCAGCAGGTCCATGGCAGTTGAACCTTAGTTTGGGCATGCAGTGAAGTGCTGTTTCCTGTCAACAATTCACAGAAGCAGATTGTCTCTTTGTTCTTGCTGTATTTGTCCAAGTTGCTAGTATTGAATTGCTGCCCTTTGGCATGGTTGCACTGGGTCAGATTTTACCTCCTCCATGCAGCTGTATCACAGTGGATGATCTGTGGAACATTCAAATTACTTAATACCATAAATGGCCTCTTAGTACCTGAGCCTATGAAATAAGAGGAGCTGCTTTGCAGAGTCAGTCTGAGATTAAACGAAATAAGGATATATAATCTTGCCTGAATTTGGGATGCAGGCAGCTTGCTAATAAAGATAATAATCTTCTCCCAAATGGATGTCACCTTGTTTAGTTTTGAAACTACAAAGCTTCAAAACATACGTGAGTCACTTATTTTGCATTTATGCACATGGACACATTTATAGCTATAGTAAAGTATTAATAAATAGGAAGAGTATGTAGATTGGCATGACACATAGACCTTATTGGTAATTGAATCCTGACTCATTAAATAGTTGATTTCATTTAATATCACCCATGTAACTTCTGGGATTTCATAATGCTATCTTCTATAATGCTTCAAGTATTCAAATAGCATTCCAACTATTAGCTAAACATCTAGTAATACAGACGTGTCAAGACCTTCCTTAAGCAATTTGGGTAAATTGAGTTGTATTACTACTTCAGAACACTTAAGTGGAACTAGGATAACACTAGTAAGGAGTGAGTATTGATTATCTGTGAGCATTTAAATGTTTTATTAGAAGCTCAGCTAAACTTAATGGATTTTTCCCCTTCTTTAGGTATCAAAGCAAGCCAAAGAGTTCCTGGAATATGTTTATGAAGAGCCCCTGATTGACATCCAGCAGGAAAATCCAATGTTGTACAGACACGTTGAGCCACTGGCAACTGTGGTCCGTCTGAGACAGCAGCTGAAATCCCTCCGAGCCTATTTATTCAGCTGCAGAGCAGCAGTGGCTGAAGACCTGCGAAGGAGGTAGGAAGAAGGGGTAGCAAGCAGTATAAGCTTCCCTGGGGCTCTCTTCCTCAGTTTGTCCATCTCTCACTTCCTTTCCTTAGTTCCCATGACCCAGCAATTAAAGGGCTGCCCATTGTTGTAACAGGACACTTTCAGTCCAAATGTTGGTGAGGGGTCTAATGAAGAGATTGGCTAAACAAACTGGGAACTCTACAGGAGGAATAATTTTACACTGTGGGTAGCATGGTATAAAAGTATGCAGTTGTCACATCCCAACTGTGAACATGCAGAGTTTGGAAGCTGAGTTTACAGCAGAGTAGGAATCCCTCTAGTATTTATTCTGATGTGAAGCAACTCTGCAGATAACAAACTTCCCCATGCTGTGGCCTAAGATCCTTTTAGAGTGGAGATGCTGCAGATTGATCCTGGGACCTTCTGTATGTGCTGAACTCTGGGAAGGTGCTGCACTTCAAGACCATTAACAAGAGTGCTCCTTTGACTGAGCTATGACTAAAGCAGCTCCTACTCTTAATACTGCATCTGAATAGAAGTTTCAGTGTTAGACCTAGTTTAATTACCATGGGAGGATGTGGCAGTAGTTCTTACCATCACAGGGGAATTGCATTTAAAGTGCTGGGGATTGGAGTCACCTACTCCCCTATTTTCCTCCTCTAGCCTCTTATCCATCACTGCAGAAAGCAAGGATCAGGGCCAGGTCTGCTTCAGAAGAGGGGCCTGCCTTCTTTTAAAATAGAACATGGCCTTCATACTTTGAAAAGGAGAGAAGAAACTTTTTCTTGGGGGGTGGGGGTCTTTGTTCCATAGGCTTCTACAGGAATAACTGATGACCAAGTCACCCTTATCTGCACAGTCCTATCAAGAGTTCTGTTGGGTGAGTCAGCCAGAATACAGGGAATTAACTTTGATATAGAGAGAAGATGCCCCCAATCCTGTCATTGCTTAACTGTTTCCTGGTGGAGGAAGGGTGAAGCAGTTATGTAAAAATAGATACCCAGATGTTTTTGCCTTGGCACCTTTACCCCTGTAACCAAAGAGAGGTGATCTTTGCTATTCAGAAGATAACCTTTGTCAGTGCCTTGATTAATAATGTCAAGAACAACCAAAGAAAGATATGTGTGTCAGCAAGGTGCTAGGCGTTAGCAACCACACTTCCTGATCTAAATGTATCTGTGTGTGGCTTGTGGAGAAAGGTGTGTGTGCACGCGTGCACGTGTGTGCATGCAAGAACAAGTTCATATGCATGAGAGAGAGAGAGAGAGATGCTCTAATTTCAAAAAAAAACTGCAACTCAGTGAGGAGTATTTGTATTCTACAAATAATTGCCTTGTTCTTGCACATACATTGGAATGAATTTAGGCAACATGTAATATTGGTAATAGTGTCTCCTTCAGTTAGTATGAAACTGATGGCAGTATGGTTTATGGAGGGTACAGTTCAAAAAAGGCACAGAGAAATAAATTACTGCTTTTGATTAACACCAAAGAAAAAAGAATGTTCTGATTAATATGAAGAGGCAGGTAGGGCAATGTCAATGAAGACAGTAGAAGAAAAGAGATCAAAGGAAGCAGAGAGAGAAAAGCAACAGGGCTTGAAGACATGGGGCAAAGGGGGAAAGTAAGGACACTAGCTGAGGCATGAAGAGCCAGAGCTGATGGAAAAGGGTGATAGAGAAGGGCCCAGAGAGAGCTGTGAAGGGGCATTCAGGGGAGCGCAGGGAAAAAGCCAAGCATGAAAAAATAAGAACCATTGGAAGGACTGAAACAAAGGAGGATTAGAAAATAAAGAATCAGTTGAGTAGGCATGGTATCGAACACAGAAAGTTTTGGCATAGATTTTTTGGGGATATAGAGAGTGAAAAGTATTGCATCAATCAGTCAATGTATTAATAAAGTCAATGCCCAACATAATCAAAATATTGAATTGTTATCAAAATTAATACAAAGTTTTGCTAAATCATAGCTCTTGGAGAAAGGCTTAGCTGGCACATGGACAGGTGTATCTGTACATGGTGGTAAGAAATATAACAATGAAAAAAAAAAGGATTTAAAATCAGACTTTAAATAAAGTATCTATAAAAGGTATATGTTTGGTAACAAGTACATTATTTTTATCTTTCATGATCAGGGAAACTATAATTAACCTTGGACTTCCAAAAACCTTCTCATTTGCTGTCATGAGTACATTTCTCCCCCTTTCCCTTTCTAGCAGATCTAGGCAAAGGCTTTTAAAATACAGTTTTGATAGCACTAGGGTGGCTATGCAATACCAAGTGAGTAATAATAAAGTTGTTAATATGTAGAATCTATCAAAGTAGTGATCTCTCTGATTGGTACAGTCAGCTCTTGCTCATGTCAGAAGTTGATTTGAGATGGAATCCCCCTCTTCTCTTTTTCCCTAAAAAGGGGCTAGCTCCACCCTTAGGATGATTTTGTGCTGCTTTATAGGCCAAATGGCAGGAACACCAAACATTTCTTAATTGGTTTGCTTGCTTAGCTTGACAATGAATGGGTTGACAATCTCACACGCCTTTCCATGGGGTTGCTTTTACATCATGGACAATCTTTCTCATGAGGAAAGGAGAAAAATATGCTGTGTTTTATCTTCCAGTTTTCATTAACATTAATGCTTGTACATTAAAAAGTACAAGGGTGTTTTTGAAAACATGGCAAAATGGCTGCCCATGCTGTGTGCTGAAATTGCTCTTACTTTCTAAGAACTTCCATCAGTGTTGGAAATGAGTTTTGGCGTTATTGATGTTTATTCAGTGTGAACAAAAACTTTACTGCTCAGACAAGCCAATTTTCTTGAAGACTCCCAGATGCTTAATGCATCAGCTATATAAATAAGTACCTAGATAATTACAATATAGTGGCCATACCTAAGGAGCAGAGGCACTTTGCAAAAGTGTGGATAGCTTGAGGTTGAACCAGAGTTTGAAGTCTAAAGTCTGCTACAGGGGAATCAAAGATAAGCTTTCAATCCTGATGAACCGTCACAGCCAGTTACATTTTGGCCTTTCCTAGGGAGGCCAGAACCTAGTATTGGTGATTTCTCTCTTTGCCATAGTGGGGGTGCTTAGAAGCATTATGCTTCAAGGAATATGACAGATGCTAGCACCAGTGGGTATGCAATGGATCTATTCTCTCAGTGGTTCCTCCAGAAAAAGTTTGCCCAGCACTGCAATAGTTCCTATAGAAACTGTGGGGGATGGGTTACTGTTATGTTACATGGTATGTGTATATTTATTTCCAATAATTCTAGCTCTCCTTTCATGGCAGGAGCCTTCCCAAGATGGCTTACAACAGTAAAAGTAATGTAATTAAAACTGATATGGTAATAAAAGAACAGACATTCATAAAAACAAGACAATCATAAAGCAATGAACACCAGCCTAATGTAAAATCTACAATACAATTGCAGATAAAATTCAGAGTAGAACTGTAGGGTTTCATTCCACATATAAGAAACAGGGTACCATTTTAACTGTGGCAGTACACATAAATCTATCAGACCTTATTGACAACTGCTGGAATTGAATTGCATATTGTCTGTGCACGATTGCCTGCTTTTATTATAGTAAACATAATTGAGAGATCATTCTCGAATATCAGATTATACACATTTTCAACCAAGAACAAAACAAGAGTCCTTCTGTTCCTTCAGAATTATTGTTTTAGTTGCTGCAATAAGTCAACCCACAGAATAGCTCTGCCTAGCAATTGTTCACTTCTTACACAAAAAGATACAAGAATCTTTTTTTAAAAACAGATTTTCAAAACAGATTAATATTTCTCTAGCTGTCATGATAGTGACGATGGAAAACTTGATTTTTTTTTCTTTTTTAAAAATTCCCAAGGAGATGGTAACTTTTCATTAAAAAAAAATCCCATCAACCTCAACTTTGTCAATTTGAAAGAAAAACTTAAAACCTTTTGCCTTCAGATAATTGCAGTTTCATTACCAGACCCCAATACTGGATGAAAAAATATATGATCTGGAAGTGAGAGAAAAAGTACAGTAAAACCTTGGATTGCGAGTAACTCTGCAAGTGTTTTGCAAGACAAGCAAAAGTTTTTCTAAATTTTAACTTGATAAACGAGCAATGTCTTGCAGTTCGAGTATTACGCGTGCTTTGCCTGCTGAGTGTCACGTCACAACTGAGCGCCGGTTCTTCTTTCTCTTGCTGCGGGGTGAGTACAGCATCGTCTCCCCCACCAGCGTGCCCACAATTGTGCCCGTGATCGCGCCCATCTCCTCGAGCGCGCCCACCCACCTCCCCCCGTGAGCATGCCTGTTTCAAATTTTTGTGATTAAAAAAAAAAAAGTTACAGAACGGATTAACCTTATTTGCATTGAACCTTATGGGGAAATTGCTTTGATATACAAGTGCTTTGGATTACAAGCATGTTTTCGGAACAAATTATGCTCACAGTCCAAGGTTTTACTGTACTTTTTTCATGAGATTCAAGGGTCAGAGGATTGAGCCTTCCACTCCCAGGCACAGCGCCTCATGTATAGTGTTATAAATGGGGCTGTAAAGAGTGAGAGTGAAGAGCAGCCAGCATAGGAGCCCTTCATTGTAGTCTCAGGGTAAAGCAGGGGTGTCCAGCCCAGGGGCCGCATGCGGCCCAGAAGGGCTATGAATGCGGCCCAACACAAAATCGTAAGCTTACATAAAACATTATGAGATTTTTTGTTATTTTTTTTGTAACTCGATCACACACTTCTCCAGTGTGTACTTTCTAGATGACAATGTTGTATCACAATTTCACATAAAATAAACGTACCTATGCTCTCACTATTTGTACACATGCATGGCTTATGGTAGTCTGCAGCTTCCAGTGTGTTATCTTCCAAGCACAGACAGTCAAATTTACACCATCAGACATTACATGTGCTCATAGTGACTTGGCGAGGGAAATGCACCTATTATCGATAATCTTTCAACCTACCATTGCAAACAATTTTATACATTTTGACATGTTGACTAAACACAG